AAAACTTTTTTTTTTTTTTAGTTTGTTTGTTTTTGTTTGTTTGCCCAGGCTGATCTCCAACTCCTGGGCTCATGGGATCCTCCTGTCTTGGCCTCTCAAAGTGCTAGGATTACAGGTGTGAGCCACCATGCCTGGCCTGTAAAAACTTTTGAAAGGAACCTTTATATTTTTGCTTTTTAAAGTATGTGTCGATGAGCAACATTTAATTTGTGATTGGATACTATTTCTTGACAGTCACCAGACACCCTCAGGAAATCGTGCAAAGTGAGAAAATCTAGCCCACAAATCATTTTCAAATGTAATTCAGTTTTTATACATTAAAAATTTTACTATTAATGATTTACATTATAATTAATGTAAAAAGTTTGTAAATGTTAAGTTTGATGGGCAATTCCATATTTATTATTGTCAGTGTCAATTTTGCAATTTTTCATTTTGTAGCCAATTTTTTTTGTTGTTTCAACCCTTTTTTTTTTTTTTTTTTTTGGCTCTAAAATGTTGATAACCCTTGGTCACTAAGGGAAGATCCAGACTTTAAGGACTCTGAAGCTTATACAGTTTGGAGGCCCTCTTAAGACGAAGATCACAAAATCACAAATACTGTACACGATTAGACCTCTTGGAAGAGGCATTATAACTTCTTAATTTGCTTCTGTGAAACACTTAGAGCCAATTGGATAAAATATCCACTGCAGAAGCTGCCCTGGTTAAGACCAGGTAGGAGACTCTGGCAATATTCAGGAAAGAGATGAAAGCCCAAACTTGGGGATGGAAAGGATGGGAGAAATATGAGAGATATTTAGAGGTAGGTCTGACAAGACGTGGTATTTGATGAGGAGAGTGTCAGGAACGCACACTGCTGGATGACTGAGTGAGTCAGAGAGGAAGGCAGATGGGGAGATGGGTGGTTGGGTGGATCAGGCTTGGAAGATAAATGACTTCAGGTTTGGAAATATCTATGGAAGCCATTTTATGTATGTGTGAGGTTCAAGAAAGGGGACCAACCAGGGCACAGACAGCTTTTGGCACATGAATGGTCTCTGAGTCCTGGGAGTTGATGAAATCTCCCAGGGACGTGCATAAGCTAAGAAGAGATGCATGATGGGGCTAGCACCCTAGGGAACACCAAAGTGTAGAGATTGAGAGATGCACAGAAATAGAACAAAGAAATGTTCATCCTGTTAAATGAGTACCTGTAGGCGCCACATATTATGCAAGGTGTTGGTTAGAGAAAGCTGAGTCAGGCAGAGAGATTGTCAGCTGGGGCTGGGGGTAAGGGAGACGGGGTCGCTGAGCTTGGAGGGTGGGCACGATGGGGGCTTTCCAGATGAGGGAAGAAGTGAGCAAATGCACGAAGCTAGAAAAGTGGGAAAGGGTGAACAGTTCATTTTGATTAGAATATGGAACATCCTGAAAAAGAGAGGGAAAGAGAGAAAAAGAAAGAGAACATCCTTAACATGATAATTGGAAATTAAATTATGGCTGCTTTGAAAGCCAAAATATCAGGTTTAGCAATGGGAACTTCCGATGATTTCCAAGCAGGGGAATTTTGCAGGCAGAACTGAGGAGCGAAGGGTCCTCTAGCAGATGGCCACAGAACTAATACTGCAGAGACCAATACAGGGATTCTTAGAGGCAGCCAGAAGCATGGGGGCCGGCACTCCCGGTGTCACAGTAGACATACAGGGAAGGGAATAAAAGTGAATGAGTGTATATAGAGGAATGGCCAGGACCTGAGGGATGGGAGCTGATGGGCTCTATAAGTAAAAGTGTACATAGCATTTACTGAAATTGCTGTGTAAAAATATAAACCCAGCCAGGGGCAGTGGCTCATGCCTGTAATCCCAGCACTTTGGGAGGCCAAGGCAGACGGATCACGAGGTCAGGAGTTCGAGACCAGCCTGGCCAACATGGTAAAATCCCATCTCTATTAAAAATACAAAAACAAAAAAAAACAAAAAAAAAAACAATTAGCCAGGCATGGTGGCAGGCGCATGTAATCCCAGCTACTCCAGAGGCTGAGGCAGGAGAATTGCTTAAACCTGGGAGGCAGAGGTTGCAGTGAACCAAGATTGAGCCACTGCACTCTAGCCTGGGCGACAGAGCAAGACTCCATCTCAAAAATAAATAAATAAATAAAAATTTTTAAAAAAAACAACCCATAAGCCCTAGAACCTGAGGGGAAGAATACAGAGTGAAAGCCACAATGCTCCTCCTCTGTGTGACTCTTCCTCCCAGAATTTGTGACTTCAGCCTCAGATCAAGACATTTCAGACTGTAGGTTGATAGGAAGGCCACGCCCAGCTCAGCACCCATATTGCCCCATTCTGCTGATTGCTGTGTTGTTGTTTCTGTTTAGTTTCAACCATAGAACTTGGTTTTCTTCTGGTGAAATTTCATCGATTTGGGTTTTGCCCCAGTGCCCCACTTTGGTTAAACTTGTTTTACATTTCCTGTCTTCCCTGGAGGTGGCTGCTCTTTCTGTTTTTCATCTCTTGCCTTGTAGATGAGCCACCTTCTGGGTATAACGTAGATCATTTTGAGACAGAGAGGAGTTTGGAGAACAGGGATGGAGGAAAGGAAGGAGGGAGGCAGAGTCTCTCTTCTCTCTCCCAGGTCCCGGTGACTGGTTTCCTCGTGACTGCACCACTTGTCCCGGTCCCCAAGGACTCACTAAGAATCCACCCATGGTCAGCCACCTCGAGGTTCCCACCTGAAACTGCCCACATCCGCTTCTTCCTGGATCCACTTCTGGTGTTTGTAGAAAGGCTACTGTAAAAAGTTTTCTTGGCCAGGCATGGTGGCTCACACCTGTAATCTTGGCACTTTTGGAGGCCAAAAGAGGACAATAAGCTCCTTGAGTCCACGAATTTAAGACCAGCCAGGGGCAACACAGCAACACCTTGTCTTTACAAAAAATGAAAAAATTTGCTGGGCATGGTGGCGTGCACCTGTGGTCTCACCTACTTGGGAGGCTGAGGTGGGAGGATTGCTTGAGCCCAGGAAGTTGAGGCTGCAGTGAGCCAAGATGGGGCCACTGCACTCTAGGCTGAGCAACAGAACGAAACCCTGTCTCTGGAAAAAAAAAAAAAAAAAAAAAAAGAGTCTTTTCCTTCTTGAAAACTTAGTAGCCTCTATGGCCAGGCATGGTGGCTCATGCCTGTAATTCCAGCACTTTGGGAGGCCGAGGTAGGCAAATCACCTGAGGTCAGGAGTTGGAGACCAGCCTGGCCAACATGGCGAAACCCCATCTCTACTGAAAATACAAAAATTAGCTGGGTGTGGTGATGTGCACCTGTAGTCCCAGCTACTTGGGAGACTGAGGCAGGAGAATGGTTGAACCCGGGAGGTGGAGGTTTCAGTGAGCAAAGATCATGCCAGTGCACTCCAGCCTGGGAGACAGAGCGAGACTCCATCTTAAAAAAAAAGAAAAAAAAATGGCCGGGGGCAGTGGCTCATGCCTGTAATTCCAGCACTTTGGGAGGCCGAGGCGGGTGGATCATGAGGTCAGGAGTTTAAGACCAGCCTGGCCAAGATGGTGAAACCCTGTCTCTACTAAAACTACAAAAATTAACCAGGCACGGTGGCAGGTGCCTGTAATCCCAGCTACTCGGGAGGCTGAGGCAGGAGAATCGCTTGAACTTGGGTGGCAGAGGTTACAGTGAGCCAAGATCATGCCACTGCACTTCAGTCTGGGTGACAGAATGAGACTCCATGTCAAAAAAAAAAAAAAAGAAAAGAAAGAAAGGCAGGGTGCGGTGGCTCACGCCTGTAATCCCAGCACTTTGGGAGGCCGAGGCGGGCGGATCACGAGGTCAGGAGATCGAAACCATCCTGGCTAACACGGTGAAACCCCATCTCTACTAAAAATACAAAAAGTTAGCCAGGCGTGGTGGCTGGTGCCTGTAGTCCCAGCTACTCAGGAGGCTGAGGCAGGAGAATGGCGTGAACCAGGGAGGCAGAGCTTGCAGTGAGCCGAGATCGAGCCACTGCACTCCAGCCTGGGAGACAGAGCGAGACTCTGTCACAAAAAAAGAAGGAAGGAAGGGAGGGAGGGAGGGAGGAAACAGTAACCTCTAGGCTGGACTGACTACATAATGTGCAGGGCAGCTTGTTCAAAAATGATGAAGAATTTCAAGACAGCAGCAGCAGAGCGTTATACCAAGCATGGGCCTGTCTGACTGAGGCTCTTCTGGAGCGTGGAGCCCTGTGTTGCTGCGCGGGTCTCGCGCCCACGAAGTCAACACCGCCTGTGGCTGAGTGTCAGCGCTTTGCGAGATGTGATCTCACACTTCATCTTGGGTGCGATGCACACACACCCACCCTCCTGCACGCCTCCACACGCTACACTCAGCCGCTTCATGGGGATTCATTTCTAGAGAGGGATTCTCATTGTGTTTTTCCGCTGAATTCACTCCAACCCCTCCCCAGTTCATCTTTTTCAGTCTTCAGCCAAATAGATGTTGACCTTCTAGATGAGTTTTGAGTATTGTCACCCAGTTGCAGGATGAGAAAGATAGAGAGGTCTCCTTGGTACCACTATTCACGTGCAATTCCAGTGCTAAGGGTAACCCAGGGAGTGGCTGACAGCCGCGAGATTCTCTTTCTGGAGAGGAGGGTCTGGGGTAGGCTGAGAACGCTGAGCGCTCCACAGATGGGATCCTGACATTTGCAAAATCCCACTTGACGACAGTCCCGTTCATTAGCAACATGGGTGTTATAATGATGTTTTCATCTACATGAGGAATCTGAAGCCCAGAGAAGTTGTCTCCTCAAGATCACACAGCCAGGAAATGGCACAGGCAACACACGCCTTCTGAGCCTTGAAATAGCCTCCTTTTCTCTACACACACCAGTCCACAATGGGACATTTTACAAGCCATAGCAGAAGGCTTCGAAGCAGCTTCTATTTGTATATGAAAGAATCAACCATGATCTCTGCCTTCCCCCAAAGGTAATAACTTTCTAGCTAATTTGTATTTCTTGTTCTGACTCTTCAGAGACAACCCTGCTACCCACTTTAACCTCAAGACACACATGAATTCTCGAGACCTGAAGACAGCCATAGAGAAAATCACCCAGAGAGGAGGACTTTCCAATGTAGGTATGTGATCCCGATTCAAATTCTACTGTCTTGCTACCATCGTTCTCTTTCTACGTGATTGTCTTCTAAACATTGTATATAAAAGGAAGAAAATAATAATAATAATCCGTCAAGAAATAACTTCTGGTCAGGCGTGGTGGTTCACACCTGTTATCCCAGCACTTTGGGAAGTTGAAACTAGCAGATCACTTGAGGTCAGGAGTTCGAGATCAGCCTAGTCAACATGGTGAAACCCTCTCTCTACTAAAAATACAAAAATTAGCTGGGTGTGGTGGCGCGTGCCTGTAATCCCAGCTACTCAGGAGGCTGAGGTGGGAGAATCACTTGAAGAGGCAGAGGTTGCAGTGAGCCAAGATGGCACCACTGTACTCCAGCCTGGGTGATAGAGTGAGACTCCATCTCAAAAAAGAAAAAGAAAAAGAAATGACTCCTGCAACATCTGTATCTTTTCTAAAGTTATCATGGCTTCAGAGGACAAGAATCTTTCACACACACCTGTACATTCCACAGCTGTATCTTTTCTAAAGATATCATGGCTTCCTGTATCTTTTCTAAAGTTATCATGGCTTCAGAGGACAAGAATCTTTCACACACACACACACCCTGTACAGTCCCAGCATGCTTGGTTTGCAGGAAGGGGTAGCGTCACTCAGGGCAAGCAAGTCTGCTGTCTTGACTATTTTTTTATTGGCCTACAAGTCATCAGCTGTTTCATGAAATTTTGTGACCAGTTAAGGAAGCCCCTCAGTGCCCCTTGAGAATCTTGTTCCAATCAACTACTGATGATTGTGCAAAGAGAAACATGTTCTCTGTTTCAAGCTGAGTCTCCCATGATATTTGAGCCTTTGGGGGCTCACCAGAAATCCAAGGTCTAGTCCTCAGTGGGGCATGTCCAGAAATTCCATTTTATGTTTATACAGAGGTGATTGGGCATTGGGAAACAATTTCACACTAATCAAGCTCAAAGACTGTCAAAGAGCCTGTGCCAGTGTATTCATTTGTAAATGAAAGATTGGTTTTGGGGACGCTGGAGGGAGACTGATTGTCCACCTCTCGGGGAAAGTGTTCCTGTCATCAAAATCCAAAGAAATGGAGACATGAGCCATAGTTGCTTGGCTTAGAGTACATGCAGGGAATTGAGCTGTCTTTGAGGAAGCATCCTCAGAGTTACAGTACATCTGATTAATGATTTCCCTTCCCACTTCAGTGTATGTCTCTGTAGTGACCAGAACATTAGTATCTAGCACATACAGAGCTTTTCACCTTTGAACGATGCTAAATAAACACTAGCCAAGTCACTCTCCATGCCCTCAAAGCAGTATTACCTTCATCACACACATGACAGAGTTGACTTCTGATTTGTTTCTAACTTAATGCTTACATTAGTAAAATCCCAGTGAGACAAACATCAGAAGGCACTCTCATTCCTTGACGAGATTAGCAATGGGTCTCAATCCAATCAGCATACCTTTTTCAGCGGATGACATGTTCTGACTCTGCCTCTGTATTGTCCAGAGTTTGGGTTCTGAAAACAGAATCCATTCAACTGATCCCAACAGAAAGGTATTTATTTCAGGATATTAAGTAGTTTGGAGAGTCACTGTAAGAACTGAAGAAGCAGACTGTAGGCTGAGCTTTAAGAGATGATGTCTGAAGGCTTCCTGCAGAAGTAGGACCTCCAAGGGAGTTGCTCCTTCTTCCAAGATTAGGAAATCACTTTCTGAATTCTGCCACGGCAGCCTCTTCAGAAACCTGCTTTGTCCAGGAAGCCAGCACGATCAAGAGAGCAGGAAGCTTCTTCTAGAGCTGCCAGCTCCAGAACCATGCCCTCCCTGCACCATTCACACCCACAACATGGATCTCCACACCCTGCCACCCCACACCACTGACTGAAGCTAGCAAGCAAGCCCAGGCACCTCTGCGGACAGTATCCCAGAGAAGTCAGATACTAAAGATATTTGTCAGCAGAAATATAAACAAAAGTACAGCCTCTGCCTCACTTTTATCTTATAAATCTCATGCAAGTGCATCAGTTCATGCAACTAAAACAAAGCTAAAGCCCTAGCTGCAAGGAAGTCTGGAAAACGTAGTTTTCTGATTTCCAGCCTCTATTTTCAAGACCCACTGGAAGGCAGATGGAGTGTGTGTTAAGCACTATACACCGTGACCTCGGGATATAAGGTTAGGTGGGGTTGAGGGGATCTTCTCATGGCGTCTTGTGCTCTGCCTACAGGTGCCTAATATTAGGCCAGAGAGGACTTCTGGGTGCTTTGTGCCTTGGGAAAAATTGTCCGTTGGCTATAAAAACAATGCTTAGCAGCCAAGGTTTCCCCTTAGCAACGGGGTTCTGTGCAGTCAGTTCACATGGGTTTTACAAGACATTTCTGCAGCATCTGTCTATGTAACCATGTGATGCTTTCATTTGACAAGTAAGATAATACCAGCTAGTGGAGACAGGATGCTGGCCAAAATCAGAAATGCACTGAGTATACTACTACTAATCCTAAAGTCTAAAGAAGGTGCTTCTTAAATGTATGGAGATTGAGGACTCCTTTTTCTATCCAGACAGATACTTATATACACGAAATACTGTGTATAATTTCAAGTGCCCTGGGGTTCACAGAGCCCAGGTTAAGAGCCATGCTGACTCTAGGGTGAACAGTCATCCCAGTTTTCCCAGAAGAACCTGGGGTTTTCAGTGCTAAAACTGGGAAAGTCCTGGCAAACTGAGACAACTGGTCTTTGTCTAGTTGACTCTGAAAATTTCCTGAAGCCCTTCTCAGTGTGAAATATGCCCTGGGAAAAGTCATGGCAGGAGGCTTCGTAGTGCTTCATGACTGCTGCACTCAGCCAAAGTAGATTGCTGTCGTGGAAATTTAGGCCCAGAGACACAGGGTGACCTACTCAGGACCACACAGCTAGCAAGTAGCACAGCCAGGGCTAGAACACAGTCTGTCAGTTCCTAGTGGGTGCAACTCCTCCCTGCCCAACCAGACCTGTGCCCCTGGCCTGGAACTGGAGGAAAACACTGCTGACCCCGGAACACAGCTCTGTACAGCCCGCAGGAGCCTTAGGTTCACCCCAGGCTGCAGGGGACCAAGAAGAGGCTTCTGTCACTGCAGGTCAACTCCTCCCACCCTACACTCTTGGAAACAACATGGGGCTGGCTTAGGGGCTTAGCGTGGGTCCAGCAGAAAAGGGGCACTTTTGTTCTCATGAAAGTCTTTGGCTGGGCGTGGTGGTTCACACCTGTAATCCCAGCACTTTGGGAGAACGAGGCGGGTGGATCATGAGATCAAGAGATCGAGACCATCCTGACCAACATGGTGAAACCTCATCTCTACTAAAAATACAAAAATTAGCTGGGGGTGGTGGTGCGTGCCTCTAGTCCCAGCTACTTGGGAGGCTGAGGCAGCAGAATTGCTTGAACCTGGGAGGTGGAGGTTGCAGTGAGCTGAGATCATGCCACTGTACTCCAGCCTGGCGACAGAGCAAGATTGTCTCGGGGCGGGGAGGAAAAAAAAAAGGTCTTTCTCACCTGCTTGCTGTCCCTAAAACTTTCTTCAAAGCAGAGACAATTAGAAGTTGAAGGCTTGAAATGAAACCAAAATGGACAGTGGTAATGGCTGTGCATTGTCAATGTACTTAATGCCACTGAATTGTACACACGAAAACAGTTGAAGTGGTTTTAGAAAAGAAACAGACTGGGTTCAGTGGCTCACGCCTGTAATCGCAGCACTTTGGGAGGCTGAGGTGGGCGGATCACTTGAGCCCACAAGTTTGAGACCAGCCTAGGCAGCATGGCAAAACCCCATTTCTACAAAAAAATTACAAAATTAACCAGGTACAGTGGCACATGCCTGTAGTCCCATCTACTCAGGAGGCTGAGGTGGGAGGTTGAGGCTGTAGTGAGCCGTGATTGCACCACCGTATTCCAGCCTGGGTGACAGAGCAAGACCCTGTCTCAAAGAAAAACAAAACAAAACAAAACAAAAAACTAGGGAGGGAATGAGTGTGTCTTTCTGGGCCTCTTTGTGCTGCTGTGATCTCTTCCTGTACTTATAATCAGCATGATCACTCCAAGCATGAATTTTCTTTTTCGTCCAGGCCGGGCTATCTCCTTTGTGACCAAGAACTTCTTTTCCAAAGCCAATGGAAACAGAAGCAGCGCTCCTAACGTGGTGGTGGTGATGGTGGATGGCTGGCCCACGGACAAAGTGGAGGAGGCTTCGAGACTTGCGAGAGAGTCAGGAATCAACATTTTCTTCATCACCATTGAAGGTGCTGCTGAAAATGAGAAGCAGTACGTGGTGGAGCCCAACTTTGCAAACAAGGTAGATGACTGCCCAGAGACCTACCCAACATCAGGATTTTCCACACTCTGAAAAGTTGTAACGCCATTGCACTGGTTCTCCCATGCCTTTAAATGTGCATGAAGCTCATTTCTAGGCAGTAAGGCCTCCAGGGAGGGACTGGTCAATCCACAACCTGCAATTACCCTCTCAAAGCAAAACCCCACACCCACCAGCAGCTGTGGAAGAGCAGTGTCCTCAAATTCTCAGCTAGGTTCTCCCGTGCTCCTCCCACAGCCACAGGGGGGTCTCTCCCCGGCAGCCGAGGGAGCCTTCACACACACATGCAAGCAAACATGCACTCCTTCTCTCTCTCTCTCTCTCTCACACACACACACACACACACACACACACACGCTTTCTCCTGTATACACACATTGCTGATTCATCAACCTGATAAACCGGAGAAAGGAGGCACTGAACCACAGCAGTGAGATCGCGTTTTCAGATGCTCCTCCTGGGTTCTGTGGAGACGCCCAGCAGGAGATGTGGAGCAAGGCCTCCCTCACTCACGCCACCAAAGCTGCCAGCTGTTGTGTGTTTTGTACCATAGAACACCACATAAACCTTCCCCCAAAGAAAAGGCTCCAGCTTTAAAATAGAAAGAAAGCCTTGGACAGGTTTTTCTTTAAGGCCCTTCTGGCTTTAATATTCCACGTGTCCAGAGCCAGCAGGGCTCAACCTCCTGCACCACCTCAAACTGATGGCCACTTTCTGCTCCTTGAAATGCCCTTCTCCCTGGACTTCCAGGATGCTGTGTGACTCTTATTTCATTGCTTCTTGCCTCTTTTCTACCCTCAACGTTGACCTCCCCAGGTCTACACCCTCCTCTTTAAGAGGCCCTCTCCCTGCAGGATCTCTCCCAGGGTCACAGCTTCCACCTTCATCTCTTTTTTTCTTTTTTCAGACGGAGTCTCACTCTGTCGCCCAAGCTGGAGTGCAGTGGTGCGATCTCAGCTCACTGCAACCTCCACCTCCCAAGTTCAAGCAATTCTCCTGCCTCAGCCTCCCAAGTAGCTTGGACTACAGGCGCCCACCACCATGCCCAACTAATTTTTATTTTTATTTTTTGTATTTTTAGTAGAGACACGGTTTCACCGTGTTAGCCAGGATGGTCTCTATCTCCTGACCTCTTGATCCACCCACCTCGGCCTCCCAAAGTGCTAGGATTACAGGTGTGGGCCGCTGCGCCTGGCCCTACCTTCATCTCTTGAGCTCTGTAGCCATCCATTTCCAGCTGACTGACTTTTCTCCACCTGATGTCCTATCAGAACTTTAAATCCCACCTGTAACAAGCCGAGTTCATCATCCTTCCCACCAAACTGTTTCCTCCTCTGGACTTCACATGAATGACCACACACCCATTCCAGAGGACAGTGTCGCCCCAGAGCTCCTCAACAGCTGCCACATCACCGATCTCTCTCCCTCCTCTTTTCCTCGCCCGACGCCCCCTCCCCAGTTCAAGCTGGTACCCTGCACCTGGTCCTTCTCCTTCCAGGTTAGTTTAGATTTCACAATGAAACACAACTCACATTTCTGATGGGTTCCTCCAGTCCTGTGGGGTCCTTGCTCCAAATCCTTCATTACTACCCATTGCTCTCAAGGCCTTCTGGGGTGCAGTCCCAACCCACTCTCCTGGCCCATCTGTTATGACCCCCCACAGCCCTGTGTTCCGGTCAGCTGGTCTCCCATCCACACCCAGCACCGCCGCTGTCTCCTGCTGTGACTTCACTGCCTGGTGGAAATCCCTCCCTCCCTCTGTTGGCCAGAATTCAGCTCAGGCTCAGCACTTACCTCACGTGTCATCGGCTCCATGGAAAGTTTTGTGAACTCCATTTAGGTTTTTACAAATCAATTTTTGAAAAATATTTTCCAGGAAAGTTTGAAGCAATCTCTTTTTCTAAAATAATCTTTTAATTATACAAGGCCATCAGTAGTCGTCTGGTCTGACTCTTTCTGTGACCCAGAGGCAGGGGTAAGGAAGAAACACCACGCCTTGGGAACACTATGCCAGCCACTTCCAGGAGCGCAACAACCAGTTTGCTCAGGGTGTATTTGCAGCTGCCTTGTTTATTTTCTGGAATGAGCTTAGGCACTGGTAGATAAATATTCATTTGCCTGGAGGCGGGACTGTCTGGTCCTGAAGGTGGATAGACTCGTGTTCCAATCTCAGGGACTCAGGGAAGTCCCCTCATAGCTTGGTTTGTTCCTTCGTGGCAGGGGGTTATGATTCCACCTTGTAGGGTGAGGGTGGGGATTTAATGAGAGAATCATTCCGAGAGCATCTGATGGGCCCCCTAAATGTGGTCATTCAGCAACTGTGGGATCCCTTCCCGCCTGGAACAGGGTTGCTCTGGAGACATTTCCATAGTGATTTCTTGCGTATGTCATCTCTTTTCCCAATTGGAATAAAAGCTTTCTTTAGTCCTCTCATGCCGTGGTGCCCACCAATGCCAATCTTATGGCTGCCAGTACAAAGGAGGAGCCTGGAGAAGCATAAATGTGAAACTGACACCAGAGATTTAATATCTCCCTATGAATTTGCTTAGCAGTTTTCCACTAACGCAGGCAGGGACCCAGCCGAGGAAGTCGGACTGAGCCCAGCGATAACCCGGGGGCTTCGCCTCAGTGAGTGGCCCCCGGGTGAACCGAGGTGGAAAAACGCAGTAGGAGGGCTAGGGCAGAAAACAAGGGCCTGCTTGCTTCTTCCCCTGCCCCGGGGATCAAGCCTAACGGTGACACTGGAGGATTTGAACCTGACCTGGCACGGGTCCCTCCCCTCTGTCTTCCAGGCCGTGTGCAGAACAAACGGATTCTACTCGTTTCACGTGCAGAGCTGGTTTGGCCTCCACAAGACCCTGCAGCCTCTGGTGAAGCGGGTCTGCGACACCGACCGCCTGGCCTGCAGCAAGACCTGCTTGAACTCTGCCGACATTGGCTTCGTCATCGACGGCTCCAGCAGCGTGGGGACGGGCAACTTCCGCACTGTTCTCCAGTTTGTGACCAACCTCACCAAAGAGTTTGAGATTTCCGACACAGACACGCGCGTCGGGGCCGTGCAGTACACCTACGAACAGCGGCTGGAGTTTGGGTTCGACCAGTACAGCAGCAAGCCCGACATCCTCAACGCCATCAAGAGGGTGGGCTACTGGAGTGGTGGCACCAGCACGGGAGCTGCCATCAACTTCGCCCTGGAGCAGCTCTTCAAGAAGTCCAAGCCCAACAAGAGGAAGTTAATGATCCTCATCACTGACGGGAGGTCCTACGACGACGTCCGGATCCCAGCCATGGCTGCCCATCTGAAGGGTAAGCTGGGCTTGCCAAGCAGCCTGGTGCTGAGGCCGCTTTCTGGGGCTTGGTGGGCCAGTGGGACAAGGAAGGTATTGTCTTTTTATGCATTGGTTTTTTCTGCGACTTCATACAAATGTTCAAAGCCACAGGGAGGGCTTTGGGGTAGAAAGCCCCTCTGAGTAGGGAGAAGGAACAAGGACGGGGCAGCAAGGTGGTCTCCTAATTGTCATTACAGACCCACGGCCTGTGGATAACTGGGCACATTAACCCTTTCCTTTATATCCTGCACCCTGAAGCATTTCCCACAAGAGTATGATACATTAAAAGGAAATATGACTCATCACTTTACCTCTATTAAAAACACCAAACCTCCATCTCTATTGAATATGTCAAATCGTTCTGGTACCTAGACCACCAAATTGTGTTTGTAACTTTTATTTATTTATTTATTTTGAGATAGAATCTCGCTCAGTTGTCCAGGCTGTAGTGCAATGGTGCCATCTCGGATCACTGCAACCTCTGCCTCCCAGGTTCAAGTGATTCTCCTGCCTCAGCCTCCCAAGTAGCTGGGATTACAGGTGTGTGCTACCACACCCAGCTAGTTTTTGTATTTTTAGTAGAGATGGGGTTTTGCCATGTTGGCCAGGCTGTTCTTGAACTCCTGACAGGTGGTCCTCCTGCCTTGGCCTCCCAAAGTGCCAGAATTACAGGCGTGAATCACTGTGCCCAGCGACTCACCTTTTAATTCCTTAAAAGGTATTAGTACCTTTTAAGGAAAAATAATGTTTTTAAAGACAAGTACTATTTCCGTAAGCAACTGTTAACCAGATTCGGGGGGCTTCAGGGAAACCTGAAAGGAATTTCAATTCAAAATATTTAAAGAGACCAGGGGTGGTGGTTCACGCCTGTTGTCCCAGCTACTCGGGAGACTGAGGTGAAAGGATTACTTGAGTCCTGGAGTTGGAGGCTGCAGTGATCTATGATTGCACCACCAGACTCCAGCCTGGGCAACACAGCAAGATCCTGTCTCAAAAAAAAAAAAAAAAAAAGGCCAGGCACAGTGGCTCATGCCTATAATCCTAGCACTTTGGGAGGCCGAGGCAGGTGGATCACCTGAGGTCGGGAGTCTGAGACCAGCCTGACCAACATGGAGAAACCCCATCTCTACTAAAAATACAAAATTAGCCAAGCAAGGAGGCACATGCCTATAATCCCAGCTACTCGGGAGGCTGAGGCAGGAGAGTTGCTTGAACCCAGGAGGCAGAGTTTGCTGGTGAGCCGAGATCGTGCCATTGCACTCCAGCCTGTGCAACAAGAGCAAAACTAAGTCTCAAAAAAAAAAAAAAAAAAAGTTCAAAGAGCTATGTCCAATTTCTAAGAGGGCAACAAAGTTTTAAAATATGAAAAATGAGCAAAATTTGTCTGTAAATGTTTCAAAAATCTGCCACATTTATGCCTTTATTGCAGAATTTATGTATAATCACTGTTCTGAAAAGTGTCATTAGCTATCAAGAATATAAACAACCTGGCCGGGCGCGGTGGCTCAAGCCTGTAATCCCAGCACTTTGGGAGGCCGAGACGGGCGGATCACGAGGGCAGGAGATCGAGACCATCCTGGCTAACACGGTGAAACCCCGTCTCTACTAAAAATACAAAAAACTAGCCGGGCGAGGTGGCGGGCACCTGTAGTCCCAGCTACTCCGGAGGCTGAGGCAGGAGAATGGCGTAAACCCGGGAGGTGGAGCTTGCAGTGAGCTGAGATCCGGCCACTGCACTCCAGTCCGGGCTACAGAGCAAGACTCCGTCTCAAAAAAAAAAAAAAGAATATAAACAACCTGGAGAAAACCCCAAGTGATAATAATAATAGTAATAATAATAAAAGTAAACCAAGTAGTCAATGAGCACCAATGCCCTGGAGGTCAATATGAGCATACACAACTCACTCAGTGCTGTGGTTGGTGCTGCTTCTTCTGTGCCTACATTTTTTTTTTTTTTTGAGGCAGTGTCTTGCTCTATCGCCCAGGCTGGAGTGCAGTAGCACGATCTCTGCTCACTGCAACCTCTGCCTCCCAGGTTCAAGTGATTCTCCCTCCTCAGCCTCCCGAGTAGCTGGGATTACAGGCAGGCACCACCACGTCCAGCTAAATTTTTGTATTTTCCGTAGAGACGGGGTTTCGCCATGTTGGCCAGGCTTTTCTTGAACTCCTGACCTGTTGCCATCCGCCTACCTCAACCTCCCAAAGTGCTGGGATCACAGGCATGAGCCACTGCGCCTGGCTTCTGTGCCTACATTTAACTTCAGTTATTTTGCAGGATTTTCTGAATGGTTGAAAGCTACTTTCATTTCTTCCTAAAACAAGCCTTAATGAATCAACAATGCTGGTTTCTAGAATCCAGAGTAACCAGATACCAAGTTCTGGCAGAGTCTTCCCAGTGACTTACCCTTTAAGGAGGCTGTAGGGCACCCTCATAATTGTGGGATGGCTGATGGCTTGCATGCCAGAAATCACAAGGTCCACCAGGCTCCTATCAGCAGAGTGAAGATGGATTAAGGCTCAGAAGCAACCGGCCCAAACTCCCAGATTGAATGGGCAGAGCCAGATGGCCCAGCTTTGACTACAAGCCCAAGGCTCTCCTGCTTTCTCCAAACATCTGTCCCCAGTTTGTGCTCAGCTACACCATCACTTATTTTTCTAGATGTACGTCTTTTGGGCCTCATCCAGAGGGTATCCTTGGCCGACTCATGGGGAAAAATGAAGACTGAGGGAAATGGCTGAGGTGCTCTCAGGGCAGCTTTAATGAACTAGGACCAAAAGATACAAATTACCTGGAGGCAGATTCTTACTCAGCCTAACACTGAGATTTGTCTGAAAATGTAATGAGCGTTGTGTTCCTGGGAGTATCCAAGTCAAGGCTGGGTGACCATCTGTTAGAATTGCCAGTAGGAGATTCCCTACAACAAGAGTGGACTTGGGATCTGGAAAGCTAAATTTCTTTTCTTTCTTTTTTTTTTTTTGAGACGGAGTTTCACTCTCGTTGCCCAGGCTGGAGTGCAATGGCACAATCTTGGCTTATTGCAACCTCCGCCTCCCAGGTTCAAGCAATTCTCCTGCCTCAGTCTCCTAAGTAGCTGGGATTACAAGCACCTGCCACCACACCCAGCTAATTTTTTTTGTATTTTTAGTGGAGATGGGGTTTCACCATGTTGGCTAGGCTGGTCTTGAACTCCTGACCTCAGGTGATCCACCTGCCTTAGCCTCCCAAAGTGCTGGGATTACAGGTGTGAGCCACCACGCCCGGCCTGGAGAGCTAAATTTCTAATACTGTTTGTGTAGTTTTTATTTAAGGGCAACCTCTCTATCTTTGAGCAGGAAGGAGGGCTTAGACGGTCTAAACCCAGCTCTGCAGCAAAGCTGCTCTCACTGACACCTGGCAGCACTTTAAGCCCAAAGCTGGCTCCTTCTAATCTAGACAATATTCCGAGAAATTAAACTGGAGGGGTGAGAAAGGGGACTGGCAGCTTAAATGCAATTTAATGGACCACAATCAAAAAGCAGCTTAGGTCAGAGCCACGTGAGGTACGCGTGACTCTCCCAGGCACCCAGAAAGTGCTAGAGATAGTGACGCCACTGTGGGGGACTCGGGGGGAGGTGCCAGGGCACGAAGGCCACATCCAGGCTCTGCCCTCTGTTTCATGGCCATTTTGCTCACCCTACTCAGACCAGCCTGAAGGTGGTACGAGAATAGGCTATTGTAGAGTCAGGTCAAGCACCTGCTGACCAGCTGCCCACAACCCAAATCAAGACCCGTCACCCCAGGCAGTCTCCCAGTTTTCCCACCAAGAATGGATGCCTTGTCTCTGAGTCCCGTCCTCTCCTCCCTGGGTCATCTTCTCCCCACTGCAATCCAACACCTTCAGTCTTACTCTACTCCTTCCCATTTGCACCTAGACGTGCTCAAGTTCCTCCCTCCCTATAAATAAACATTCTCTGTGACTCCACGTTCTGCTCCAGTTACCACCTACCGACTCCCTTTCACAGCCAAACTTCAGGCAGGGAGCTCTGTGTGCTGACCCCACATGTTCACTTCTTTTCCACTCTCAGCTCACAGTAGTTCATTTGGTTTCTTTGGCATCTTCTCCCCTGAAACTGTTCCCACCAAACTACCAATGTCTTGGTTTTGTTTTTTCTTCTTTTTATTTGAGATGGAATCTCACTCTGTCACCCAGGCTAGAGTCCAGTGGTGCCATCTCGGCTCACTGCAACCTTCTGCCTCCAAGGTTCAAGCAATTCTCCTGTCTCAGCCTCCTGAGTAGCTGGGACTACAGGCATGTGCCACCACGCCTGGCTAATTTTTTGTATTTTTACAAAAAAAAAAAAAATTAGGGATTTTTTGCAAACAAACAAACAAAAAAAAATAGGATTTTTTGTGACCTCATGATCCATCCACCTCGGCTTCCCAAAGTGCTGGGATTATAGGTGTGCACCACCGCACCCAGCCTGTTTTTGCTTTTTAAAAATCCAATGAGGCCAGGCGCGGTGGCTCATGCATGTAATCCCAGCACTTTGGGAGGCCGAGGCAGGAGGATCACTTGAGGTCAGGAGTTCGAGACCAGCCTGGCCAACATGGTGAAACCCTGTCTCTACTAAAAATACAAAAATTAGCCAGGCGTAGTGGCACATGCCTGTAATCCCAGCTACTTGGGAGGCTGAGGCACAAGAATCTCTTGAACCCGGGAAGTGGAGGTTGCAGTGAGTGGAGATCACACCATTGCACTCTAGTCTGAGTGACAGAGTGAGATTCTGTCTCAAACAAACAAAAACCCATTGAGCACTTTTTCATGTTCATCTTACATGACTGCCCTGTAGCACCCAAGAGTGTTGGGCACCCCCTTCTTTATCTTGGAAGCCTTTCTTCATCACAGTGTTGGAACAGATGCTGGGGACCATCGCTCTGGCACCTTCGGCAAGGATTCCTGCACTGGAAATGAGGTTGGATTCAGTGATTTGTAAAGTCACCCTTGAGCCTAAAGTGATGCCATTCCACTGTTTTCGTTGAAAAGATCTTGAACCAGCTTTTGATGGCATTTAAGGCTCTCTGAGATTTTGCTCGGCTCTTCACGCTGGTAGAGCGGGCATGTGTCGTGTGTTCTGACCTGCATGGCCCCAAAAGCTTCATTGGTCCCAAAATATCTTCCCCTCTTCTATTCCCGAACATGACATTCTTACCATGTTATTTACTCCATTTTGTTCATTTTTTCCTAAAATACTATCAACTCCTGAGATAACAATTATATAAATGTTGTTACTGTTGGCATATAGTGTATGCTCAAAGGCATTTATTGAGTGAATGAATGAATGGCCATACTTAGTCTTAATTCTGGAAACCTAGAGGCTCGTAGGGTATTTTTGGTTTTGTTTTGTTTGGGCACGTTTCTGATTTTGGATTTGGCTGTGCCGACAGGGCCACAGGAAGGGAGAGATTCTTCAGCAGCACCTTTACTTGGGGCCATCTGTTCATCTAACCTTTGTCCCCACAGGAGTGATCACCTATGCGATAGGCGTTGCCTGGGCTGCCCAGGAGGAGCTGGAAGTCATTGCCACTCACCCCGCCAGGGACCACTCCTTCTTTGTGGACGAGTTTGACAACCTCTACCAGTATGTCCCCAGGATCATCCAGAACATTTGTACAGAGTTCAACTCACAGCCTCGGAACTGAATCCAGAGCGGGCAGAGCACCAGCAAGTGCTGCTTTACTGACTGACGCTTTGGACAACCCCAGCGCTTGATGGGGCACGCACGGGGCATCAAGGCTTGGGCAGGGCGTGGGGAGACAGATGTCTTGTTGTTATTCTTTGCCATCGTGCTTTTTCATACTCCAAAACTTGGAGTTAGAAAGATGATCACAATTGTATAGAAAGAGCCAAAAGGCTACATCATGTTGAGGGTCCTGGAGATTTTACATTATGACAATTGTTTTCAAAATAAATGTTCAGAACACAGTGCAGCCCTTACGACAGACTTACATAGAGCTCTTCTGAGATTTTTAAGTTGCTTCTCATGAGAACTCTGTAACCCTCAGCAAGTTTCATTTTTCTCATGACAATGTAGGAATTGCTTAATTAAATGTTTAGAAGGATTACATGCAATATTTCTGACTGTGTCATGTGTACACAGGGTTTGTGGCGGGGCCACCGTTTGCTTTCCTCAGTTCCCTGAGCACCTTCTGTGGGCTCACACCTGGCCCAAGGTGACAATGCACCTGCAGAGGTGCAGAGACAGTGTACAGTGGCTTTGCTTCTCCTGATGTGCCTCCCTCACTGCTGTCTGAGTCAATGGATACTTGCAACATGATGCTTTAGGAGCAGCTGGCTCTGGAGCACCAAGCTGATCTTGCTTAAAAGTGATACAGTAGGCCAGGTGCAGGGGGCTCACTCCTGTAATCCCAGCACTTTCGGAGGCCGAGGTGGGCGGATCACTTGAGGTCAGGAGTTCAAGAACAGCCTGACCAACATAGTGAAACCCCATCTCTACTAAAAATACAGAAATGAGCCTGTAGTCCCAGTTACTCAGGAGGCTGAGACACAAGAATCGCTTGAACCTGGTATGTGAAGTTTGCAGTGAGCCAAGATTGTGCCACTGCACTCCAGCCTGGGCGGCAGAGTGAGACTCTGTTTCCAAAAACAAAACTGGTGCAGTAGGCTGTGCATTAGAATCACTTAGGAGACTGCAGTGCTGATTCCCAGGTTCCACCCCAGTACCAGTGAATTCTGAGTCGCTGGGATTGGAGCTTGAACATTGGCACGTTTTAAGAGCTCTCTGGTGATTTGTATCTGCTGCCATCATCTAGAAGCACCGAGCTACCCCTGAGGAACTAGTGTTACATTTCCTCAAAGAGGCCCCGTGTGTGCCTGCTGCCCTGGGTCCTCCCAGTTGAGCATTTCTCTTGGATTTTTCATTTGTTAACCAAATAGTATTGCTAGCTGCATTAAAATAAGCTGGGATGAGTTTGGTTGCACTTCACTTTTTACTTCCAGCTTCTCCAAAGACTCCCCTATCAGCATGTGAAATACATGTGTAGTTGGGAAATGTTCAAAACAATCATAGAGATGACTTAGTTGATCAGTTATGTTTTATAAAAATATGTTTTGAAGAATGCTACTCTGAATGGGAGCAGAAACACAGTAACTGTGTCAATACTTGGGACAAAATATTTACATAAAAAATTAGAATCAAGGATATCATTCAGTTAGCAGACTTTACACTGAGCTCACCAAATTTCTTAATAACTGAAGAGAGAGTATATTGTCAACTGAAAATATTGTAGTCTACAGAGAAGAATCAATTAAAAGTGTCAACAATTTCAGATTTATTTGCCATAAAATTTACTTTGAATGCAATTATAATTTTATCCAAAAACTTCAAAATATAAATCTGTTTTTTTCTTTAAGGAAATTCTTTGGAAAGATATTGGTGACACTGTATTCATGCCAGACTCAGCTAAGAAGCTAATTTAGGCCAGGCATGGTGGCTCATGCCTGTAATCCCAGCCCTTTGGGAGGCCAAGACGGGTGGATCACCTGAGTTCAGGAGTTCAAGACTAGCCTGACCAACATGGTGAAACCTCATCTCTACTCAAAATAGAAAATTAGCCGGGCATGGTGGTGCACGCCTGTAGTCCCAGCTGCTTGGAAGGCTGAGGCAGGAGAATCGCTTGAACCCGGGAGGTGGAGGTTGCATAAGCCGAGATGGTGCCTCTGCACTCCAGCCTGGGTGACAGAGTGAGTTTGAGACTCCGTCTCAAAAAAAAAAAAAAAAAAAAAGAAGCTAATTAAAAAACTTAAAAAAGGACTAGGAATGATTATTCCGCCTACATTTTTGCATGTGAAGATGTGAAGATAAACCCCATAGAGGAGTTTTTCACCATTGCTTCCATGTGCACATACAAGTTATCTGGATTTTTTAAAGAAACATTTTATTTTGGAAAATGGTTTTTGAATCTAGTTATTTTATAGGGGCCTTAATATAAAAACCAATTTGTCATCAATAAGTAAATATTTCCAAATATAATTTTAATTATTTTGGTGTCCTCTTTCACTCACAAACCTGTCCCAGTTTGGAAAATAAATGATATGGTCACCCTAGTTATAGGCATTATAAATTTGAGGATAACTGGCACCTCTTCCAACGAGTCCATTGTCTACGCATTGTCAACAAATATTGAGTGTATGCTGTGGGGGTGGGGAGGAAGGGATCATAGGGAGTGAGACACTCAAAGGCTATGGTGTCATCAGAATTGTCGGTATGGATGTTCAAGTCACCAAAGACAATGACAGGAGTCAGGATGGAGAGAATATAGCCAGGCTCTTTGCAAATGAGAGAAAGTGACTCAGACATTGGTAGAAGGCAGCAGTGATGGGTTTGAGGGGCTGAATACAATCTGAGGCAAGACCTTCAAGGGAGCTGGGACTTGGAAGGAGGACTAGGAAGGAGACAGTGAGGAAGGGGCAGTGGAGCAGAGGGCAGACCTATCCCCCATTCCAGACCTGAAATACATGGGGTGAGAGAGAATAAACAGACTCCACTTGGGAGTCTGCAAGAGACAACCTGGTTTCAGATAAGCAGGCCAGGAAGGTGGAGGGGCTGAGGCTTCTGGGAGCTTGCTGACACCAGAGAGGAGCTCCCTGGGTCCCAGGGGGAAGGCTGGGTGGGGAGGGGGGTGAGGTCTAATCAGAGTTTGCACAGAGCAGTTTAGGATAAAAGTTCTGGGGATGGTTGGATGAGTGAGAGACTTGGATATGACTGTCACCTCCCACAACCTAAACTGTGCCTAATGTTGCTGAGCCAGGGCTAAGATCTTAACACTAGAAACAGAGCCTTAGAGACAATCTATGTCAATCCCTCAAATTGCAAAAGAGGAAACCCAGGCCACAAGAAGGTTGTGCAGATATGGAGGGACAGAACCAGAATTTGGATCTGTCTGCTGATCTATTGGCTCATGTGAACAACTTTTATCGGGGTCAGAGACCCCCATGCCATCCCCATCCCCACCCAACTTGGCTCTGCACACTCCTGGGCTCTCGTCTGGCCTTTGCAAAGCTCTCTGGGTCCTGCAGACTCTGGAGCCAGTATCCTAAGGCAACTCCATTCTTCATTCCATGGTGTCAGTAGAAAAATCTCTTCCACGCCCCTTCCCCTCAAACTCAACCAACACAAGCACACAAGGGCCATCGGGCCAGCTTCTCTGTGCATATGATGTCTAAACTTCATTTGACTTAATTTTCCCATTTCTCAGGAGTTAAGGCCCTTAGGCAGACTTTTCTTTGCTGAGGCTCAAAGCTTTGCAACAAGGCTCTGCTAAAAACTTTCTGGGCAAACTGACAGTGTTCAGAGGTTTCTGGTTTCTCTGGGCTCTTTAAACCTTTTGAACAGGACAAAACCTCCATAAAGCAAGCTTCCCAGCAGCATTCTCAAGGGACCAGCATGGGTTTATAGACAAGATAATGCTTCTGTGTCCAAGGATATTCCAGCTTAGAGAATGAATTTCCAAACAATAATGTTTTCCGATCAAAATCCTAAGAGAAGATCTTCCCTTAGATTACCAATGTAGTAAGTAGGAAATATGCTTAAAAGCATGAATTCAATTACCTTGAAAAGAGACGTTTATGCAAGTGATGCGTTTGAGGAATTCATAGTCCAGTGAGAAACCACACACAAATGAATAATTAAAATCATACAATCGGTATCATGGGATTATGCACAAAGTACATGACAGGCGGTTGCAAACAATCTCGTGAGAAATGAAGTTGGGATAATGCCTGACAATGAGTGTTTATCATATGGTAGGCCCTGTTCTAAGGGCTTCATATGTATTAACTCACTTATCCCTGTGATTTGCTGAGAAAGATTGCCTTAGTCCATTTTATGCTGCTATAACAGAATACCTAAGACTAGGATGGTGAGAGAGAGCAGGAGAGAGAAAAGAGGCTGAATTCATCCTTTTATCAGGAACCTACTCCTGCCATAACAAACCCGCTCCCGTGATGTCATTAATCCATTCATGAGGGCAGTGCCCTTCTGATCAAATCACCTCTCAAAGATCCTACCTCTCAACACAGTTGTATTGGGAATTAAGTTTTCAACACATAAACTTTGGTGGATGCATTCAAACCATAGCAGAGATACTCTTCTTCTTCTCACTGTACACATCCTGCAACTGAGGCATGGAGGCATCAGTAACTTGCCCAAGGTCATATCACTGATATGAAGTGGATCCAAAAAGGAAGCTCAGGCAACCTGACTCTAGGCTCCATCTACTCAGCAGCCACTAGGCTCCTTATAACAGTGGCCCAAAAAATAACCCAAGTGGCTGCATAGGGAGTTCTCTATTAAGTGTCTCAATTTAAAATATACATATAATTCCACAAAATGTACTCCCAAGGTCTATGAAATGTACAATGTGAACAGAGTCTGTTAAATATTCAATGCAAACTCCACTTTCTCCCATCACTCATGCTGATTCTCTGGACAGCCATCCTGCCCTCATTTTAACGTGGGTGATTTTCACCTGAAGTCTACAGTCCCTGTAGATGGTTGAAGACTTTGGGCAACCTTATTAGCTTGATAAACTCTGACTCATTCTTCAAGTCTCAGTCCAAATGCTACTTCCTTTCTGGGGCCTTCCCTGGCTCCAAATAGACTTAGGCTCTCTGGATACAGAATCCTGGCCCACCCAGAAACTTGGTCCCTTTGCAAGAGGAGACACAAACTACACATGTCATTAAGGACATGGGATCCAGAAAATGAAAACTTCGACCCTAAGTCACCTGATGGCACCAACCGCAGATACATTGGTACTGGTAGAATATGAGGCAGACATTTCAGGAAGAGAGAAACAGAATGTTATAGCAAGAGAAAGAGAGGCTCTGATTCCATCCAGACTATACCACCCTTCCCAATGCCCTCCTACTTATTGTATGCTACAATCATGCTTTTTCTAGGACTAGAATCTTCTGTGGGTATCTACCCATGGGGTAACTCTGTTCCTCACCTTCTGTTCTCGTTTCTCCTGCAGAAATGCAAACTCTTTTTTTTTTCTTTTAATGCACACTTTCACTCTGTCACCCAGGCTAGAGTGCAATGGTGCCAT